GGGAGGGTGCAGTGACCACTGATTCCCACCAGATGGTGCTCTAGGTGTGCGCACAGTTCTGTGGACCCTTGGCCTCCCACAGGCTCCATCCTTGGACCATTCACTTTTGCTCCCTTGCCACAATCCTCCTGTGCCCTGCCCTTCCACAAGCCCCGCCCCTGGAGCCGCTCACTTCCATGCTCTTGCGGTCCCTTCTGGTGCCCTGCCACCCAACTGCTCTCCCCCCATCCCTCTCAAGCTTTGCCCCACACACACACAAATCCCGCACCTGGGCCGTTCCCTTACTCACTGTTGCCCCACCCCTCTCATTCTCTGCTCCACAAAAGGCCCGCCCCTGCACCACTCACTTCCTGCTCCTGCCTCACCCCTGCAGTGCTCCGCTCCTCCTCCTAGCCTGTGGCTGCAACTACTTCTTTCTGAAAACTTGAAGCCCTGAGGAAGTGTCCCAATGCCTCAGCTCCGAGACAGACTGGCCTCTGTGTGGTCCTGCTCCAAACTTCGGTGCCTGAGCCCCAGAGCAGTCTCATCCCAGCTCTCACTGAATTCTCAGTGTCAGCTCAGGCCAGCCATCAGGGCCAGCAGTGATCTGCTGGGTGCCAGGAAGGAGTCACGCGGTCAATAGGGAGGTAGAGGCTGCCAGCAGAGGCAGGAACATTGTAACTGGTTGTGTTCCCAAAATTCATGTATGGATGCTCTCATCACCCAGTACCTGTGAATGTGACCTTACATGGAAATGGGCTCTTGGCAGGAGATCAACTCCAGTTCCTGTTGTTACTGTGTTCCTAAAAGGGGGAAATTGGGTCCCAGAAATGCACCCAGGGATGATCCTCTGTAGAGATGTCACTCTGCTTTCACAGGCTTAGGAGCTGAGAGAAAACCTAGAACTCACTGCCTTGTACCTCATGAGGGAATGTGGCCCAGAAGACAGTGATTCCATGCTGCTGGACTTCAGAACTGTAAACACAGATCTCTAAACCACCCAGTCTGCAGTGGTGTGTCAGAGCAACACTAGCGAAATAGCACATAAATGTGCTGTTCTTTCCATTATATATATATATATGTATGTATGTATATTTGGTGTCAGTCGTTGACCCTGAACTCTGGGCCTGAGAGGTGAGCTCTTCAGCTCAAGGCTAGCACTTTACCTCGTGAGCCACAACGCCACTTCCAGCTTTTTCTGCTTACGTAGTGCTGAGGAATAGAGCCCAGGGCCTCATGCATGCAAGGCAAGTACTCTACCACTGAGCCACTTTCCTAGCCCTCCACACTCTTCTCCTCCTCTCGCCTGGAGATGCCCCTGGGGTATCTAGGGTTGCCGCGGACCGGCTCTTTCGGGACAACGGAGGACACCTAGTGGAGGAACTGGAATAGGTGGGGAGATGGCAAACAGACAACTCACACACAAGGGGAGTGAATGCTGAGTGCGATTTATTGCAGAGGATAACAAGCTTTTATAGCAAAAGTCTCCATGAGAAAGGGCAAAAGGTTATACAATCTTGCTGCAAGGCTTCGTTCTTGGGTGGTCACCAGCTGGTCGCCTGATCTTGTTTTTTGGATGACGAGCTATGCCGATAGGCACTTGTTTTCGGCTTTACTTCTATTTTTAAGAAATACAATTGGTTTCGATGTTTATCACCTATTAACCAGAGCATATGGGCAAGGTGTTGAACAGAAAGGCATAAACTCTAGTACTTCATAGTTACTTTTGTTTAGTTTTGTACTTTATACGTTTTAAATCTTTTCTAAATAATTGTGCTTAGAGGGTTCCCAATTTGTGGCCAAAAATCATGATATTCAGTATACTTAGTTAAATCTGGCCATATATCAAATTTAAGCTCATAGTGTCTTTTCTGTAACCCTTTCACATAATCGTTTACTCTTCTCCATAGAGGCCTTAACTGTCTCATAAGATCTTTCTTGTTCCTTCTTTA